AAAAAAGGAAAAAAAAATGCGTACATATAATTGTAGAGAAATCGCCTGAACACGTCATAACTTTTTTATTTTATTTTTTTTTGCCCTCAAATGGGAAAGCCGCGTAAATATACGTGCAGAGATTCCGAACAATTAGATACAACCTGAAGGTTATAATACGGGAATGGGGGGGAAATGCATTTAAAGGGAAAAAAAAGAAAGAAAACGCTAACTGGGAAGCGAAATGCGCATACATTATTGTTTATATGTGCCCGTCACCAATCAACTAATTGTGCGTAACAGCCATGCCGTTGGAGGGAGCAATCCCTTAACGCGATAATAAATTGGCCCACAAACTTGAACGTACAATGGGGGGCATTTTATTTCTTATAAATAAAATGTATATATTATGTGCGTTTGATGCGTAGGCGCGCTCGATGGCGAGTGTTTTTTTCTTTTTTTTTTTTCAAACCGCATAGTGATACAGGAGGTGCAACGGTACCCTACGTGGCATTCAGGACTTCGTCGCCAAGAAGGAAGGAGGAATGGGAACAATTAAAGTACTATATAAATGATTTCATCCTTCATATAAAAGGAACACCCAAGCGCACAGGTGCGCATAACCCTTATCAAGGCGCGGTATGTGTCCGTCAACGCCTCTTATTAATATATACTCCTAGGCAGGGAAAAACCGTAAAGTGTGAAAACATATATGTCCGTGGTGATGGGATGCGGAGGGGGCAACGCGCATGGAAAGGAATACCTTAAACGGCTAGCTACAAATTGCAGTCCCATTTGGGAGTTTGTTTTTTCCCTGTATGAAAATTATGCACCATTTGGCTTTCTTCCCCGCGGGGCACGTATTTTATTACAAGCATATAGCGTTTGCGGTGAGGCAGGGCAATTAAACAAATCCCTGACGGAGCATGTATATAGGGTGGGGGGCGCAATACGTATTGTATAAATAATATGGTGCGACCCATATATCTCCTTATCGTGTTACGGCAGTCGATAAAGTACGTGTTGGTTTTGTTATGGCGCCATGTCGCGCCCCCCGGTGGGCATATAAAATAAAAAAGGGGCCATGCAGCCTAGCGGGTACAGTAATTGTTCACCGTTCACAAGTGGCGCATCCCCTCTGTGGGCAGCACCAACCACTTGTGATTGGACCTATTTTTTCTCATAAGTATAACCCTTGGGCTGCATCAAGTGCTGCTCCCTCCCGTAAGGTGTTTTTTTTTTTTTTTTATTTATTTGTGGGGAAGATATTTATATGCAAATGTTACACCCGTCATTTTTTCGTAGTCCTAGTTTGTTTCCCTCGAGTGGAAAAAAACACTGCCCCACGGAGTTGAAAAAAGGAGTGCATCTGTTCTTCCCCCCTACACCTGCCAACGCTTCCGCCATATGCAAGGAGGTAACTGAAGTGCATCGCGTCGCTTGTGCCCAAGTCGATTACGGCACGCGTATGCATGTTTATGCGTACCGCCGTGTAAAAATGTTTTATTCCCTCCCCGCGCTGTTCCGCATATATATAAATAATATCTGAGCAATGGTCAGGCGGGTTAAAGAAGCACAGCCCACTTTTTCTTTTTTTGTGCGCAAAGTATATGTGGATACGTATTATATATGTATGATGGTGCTCGCATTGTATGCTCCGCTCCTAACGTAACAACTAGGTATGCTTCTTTTCACCGCTCAACCTGGTGAGAGGAAAAAAAAACAGTACCATTGGCAGTGGGGCGGGAAGCGACGGGGTACGTGTTCACGTCGCCCCATACATACAATATATGTATGGATACTAATATGTAACCACTCTACATATGCGCAAGCCCTTAACCCACAGCTGCTTGTACCCTTAAACTGGTTTGTGTTTAAAAAAAAAAAAACGAACAGTTTTGCATATATATTCCCTCCGCAGTTGGGTCATTCATTTTTTTTTTCTGACCAACCAGTTTTTTTCCTCCCACTTTCATATCAGTTTTATTTTTTTCCAAAAAAGAAGAACAAAAAAAACATTTTTCCTTTTTCACTTTAATATTTTTCGTTTTTCATTTTTCTGTGCATTTCTGCTTTTATGCAGGATTTTTTACAAACCTTATTTCCTCTTTTTAAAGCTTCCCGCTTGAGGCAAAACCGCTTTTTTTTTATTTTACTTGTTTTTTTTCTTCACTTCCTTGCGTGCTGACCCATCGTTTCACGCAGCTGATTCACACGGTTTTGTCACATCAGAGAAGGAACATTATCTTCTTGTGGAAAAAAAAAGCAAAATGGCATATGTTAAGGTTGTTAAGAATAAGGCGTACTTTAAGAGGTACCAAGTGAAGTATAGGAGGCGACGAGGTACGTTCAGTAGTTAACGCGTGGAGTTTTTTTTGTAGAAAAGCGCCTCCGCGTGGCTTTGTATTATGCATTTGTATGAGCGGTACAGAGTGTTATGTAGTGACCGTGAATAATATGGCCAATAATATGGCCACGCACGCCCATGCCTTAAATAAATGAATACGTTCTTAATAGCAAAAGTTATGAGGGATATTTTTATTCGAGGCTAAATTGAAAAAAAAAAAAAAAAAATGCCACTGATAAAACGAGTTACGCATTTTTCCCACAAGTTGCTGACTCACCTGACTTTGGCACATGACTTAAGGAGGGGCAAACTTTTTGCATTTATTTGGCGAGGCGGCCATTTGTCATTTTTACCGCCCCCATGGGGTGATTTGCCCTTCCACCCCAAAACATCCCATTGTACGTTTCTCCGCATCACATGTACGTGTCCGCCCCTTTTTTTTTTTTTTTTTTTTTTTTT